ATAGTGCGACCCTTTCATCTGACTTGATGTGGTAGTTTTGTAATAAGTGCTTGCCCAAAACAGAACCAATTAAGAGATTAGCAAATATCCTTTTCCTTTCCTCCTCCTTCCCTCCTCTCTCTCCTCTCCTCTCCTCTCTTCTCCTTGTGGTTTTTTTTGTTATCTTTTTGTATTTCCTCTCCTCTCCTCTCCTCTCCTCTCCTCTCCTCTCCTCTCTTCTCCTTGTGGTTTTTTTTGTTATATTTTTGTATTAGTAATTTACTTTGGTAATCTCGTTAACTGAAAAATTGTGAAAAATAAAGTTTTGGGTGATTTTGTGTCAAAATAGTTTTTGGTGTGTACCCATGATAAATCCCATTGTGCTTATCTGTTTTTATCATTACTCTGGAAGATTGATTAAATAACATGTCATGGAGGCATGTAGATTTTTTTTTTTAATGAAGGGTTGTTTGTAAATGTAGGCTGGTGCAGTTGTGAGCAGGTGCAGAGGCTGGCAGTAATCGAGCTCTTGGAGGAGGGCTTAGTAGGGTATACTGTGAATGGGTCTTGACATGCTGAGCTGGTCGTCGGGTCATTTCTCCTAAGTGGCAACTGCCCACTTGCTAGCATGCGTCAACAGGAAAATGCCAAGCAAGTAGAGTACCCATAAAATAAACCTTATAAGCTTTTGGAAAGGAAAAAGAAAGATCCATGTTGGTTTTTTAAAATTATAATTGTTCTTTTCTAAGATTAGTGCTGTTGAAATTCTAGCAAGTGGCACTTTCATTCCTTCCCCCATCCCCTTTCTTTCTTTCTGTGTTGACAGGGTAGAGACAGAAAGGTTTGTCGTATACTTTGGGTAAGTGCAGTGAACTGTGGTTTGTCTTCAGTGAATCAATGCTTTGTTTTACAAGTGGTTGGTTTGGACAGACTCTGTCTTTATCACTTATTTTCCTTTCAGGAATCACGTCTTCTGCATCTCTTCAGACAATGCATGCTTGCCCATTGGTGTTTAGTTTGATGGCATGGGGTTCTGGCTTGAAGGCCTTTCTTTATTTAATGTCTGTGGATTATGAAAGTTATGAATGCATGGCTCTGTCTTTGATGTTTGAGCGTTTGATGCAATAATGGATTAGTTGTTTTACACTGCCACAAATACAGTTTCCCCAACTAGACGACTCAACTGACTTGAATTATAGAGAAGAAGTTTTCTGTGGTCAAAGATGAATTGTTGTCTTGTTTTTCAATAACCTACATTTAGGTTATGTTAACACAAATTATTGTGTCTGGTGACATATTTTTTAATGTTCAGTAGACATGTTACCTTATTAAATACATATTGCCTGTTTTGCATCTTGTATCCTCCATGTAGATTTTGCTACAAGATACATTGATTTTTTGTGTGGGGGTGTTCCAGTTATTTGTGGAGTGTTTGTGGAAACAGTTCTGGAATAGTTTTCAAATATTGGTAATAATAGGTCACATTTCTTCCTACATTTAAAAGTGTTTGATGAAGTCCATGTTGTAGTATGGTGGAAACCATAAAAATGTTTAGAGTATGTTGGACCAAGATTTCATTGGAATTTTCTTCCAGGAAGCATGGAAGATGGACAGGAGTCTAAATACATAAACCACCATGTAATAAGCCAGATCCAAACTGTCAGTCTGAAGGTGCATTCTTGATGTAGTAGTAGTTCAGTAGTAGTTCTTCTGGCATTGTTAATGTAATGCACTTAAAACAGCTCCACCAAGAGGAGCACTTTTTGTTCATGCCTGCACTATTCACCATATGCTTTTAGGCAGTGGGTTTGTGAGTAATGGAGGAGAATGGGAATGAGTCTGAGACACTGAGAGTAGGTCCAGCACTTGCTAGAGCCATATGGGGATCCTACAGATAGTGTCCACATCTTACAAGAGGAAAGTTAACACACAGGTGAGGATGAAATCCACACTATTGAGGGGCAAGGCTCTGCCTATTTGTATTCATAGTAAAGTTTGGAGAAGAGAGTAAGAACGTGTGTTTGGCAATGTAATCTCTGTTTGTTTAAGTGATTTTGGATTATCCTTTATGATTTGCTCCAAATACAAAGTAATATGTAACTCTAACTACTTGCTTGCACAATTCTATTTCTTTTCCTGTGTGTTCTGTGCATGTGTGACAAAAATAAAACCAGAACCATCAACTGTCAAAACTAATCAGAAAAAAAAGTTATTTCAAAAGCAAAGGTTTTTTTACAAATGGATAAAACATACTGATGTGTCTTTCTTAATTAATTTTGTTGTTTGCAGGTAATTGTTTTCATAATTTATTCATAAAATTAATCAGTATTCTGATGTCCTTTGCACAGGTGTGGGTTTACTTGCCCAACAGAATTGTCACTGAAAAAAACCTCTTGCCTTCTTTTCTCAGGGTCAATGTGGAAAATCAAATACTGAAATACGGGTTTACTACTCGTGAGATTATTATTTTGGAAAATGATGATCCTGGAGGAGTGTTTGAATTTTCTCCCTCTTCCAGAGGTCCCTACAGTGTCAAGGTAGCTATCTGACTAATTTCTCTTACACGTTATGGAGCAGAGTGCTCAAAGAAAGCTGGATTTTTGGTTTTTTGTTTTTTTTTTTTTACAGGAAGGGGAGTCTGTTGAACTGCAGATTGTTCGCAGTAGAGGAAGTCTTGTCAGGCAGTTTTTACGTTACACTGTAGAACCAAGAGAAAATAATGAGTTTTATGGAAGCACAGGAGTTCTGGAGTTTAAACCTGGTGAAAGAGAGATTATACTTACTCTTCTGACAAGGATGGATGGGATTCCAGAGGTAAAATTTAATATTTTTTGTTCTTCAAATTGTGTTCACAAATAGTATTAGTTTGCCACTTGTTAAAATACAGGCAAGTATGTAGGAACAGAACAAGTGTGTAGTGGCTTTTCTCCAGAATGTCTTCCCAGCTTCCAAACCAGGGATTCTGGAATAGTAAGTGATGTCTTGGGGTTTAATAGTCCTCAGTGGATTATTTTTTTTCTGTGGATAGAAACACTTATGCTTTGAATCCATGTAAGTTTTTTAACATCCATTACATACTGTAGTACAGAGTGCTGTTGTTTAATTCAACTCTTTGTGAAGAACCACTTCCTTTTTGTCTTTTTTCTGGTAATCATCTGCTAGCTTCACGCAGTGCTCCGCAGTATAGACTGATATTGGCCATATAGATACATAGATGCAATACTTGTTTTAATGTTCCTTGAAGCATTACCTGCGAGCTTTTTTCAACAAACATATGAAGTACTAAGTCCCATTAGATTAATAAAGCAAACGGATACATTCTTTCTAAATTAGTGTGCTATCAATGGTTTTAAAATCTTTGCCTTCCCCGTTACAAAGCCAGAAATGTTAATAAATCTTATGGGAAAGAAAACTTTCCTTTCAGGGAGAATTACAAATACATTTGTGCTAGTGAATTGATGTGATTCTAAGTTAAGTACACAAACTAAGTCCTTGCCTATAATGATGCTAGATTTTTGGAGAAAATGGTCCTATCAGAGACAGAAATTTCTGATTATTTCCTTGTTCTGATGGCAATGTGCAAACACGTTGTGCACATAGAAGGTGCGTATGATTTCCTTTTGTTTAAACACGTAGCTCTTTCTGCCTGGCTAGGGACTGTGGATGTTTGTCTATTTGTTTTGGATTTGAATACTGAGTATGTATTTTTATTGACTGAGTTTCCCTCTTCTAGCTGGATGAGTTATATTCTGTGGTACTCAGTGGCTACAGTGAAATGCCAGGCAAGTTGGGGAATGCCACAAGGGTCAATATAACCATTTCGAAGAATGATGATCCACACGGTGTCATTCAGTTTCTACCTGATGAACTATCAATAACAATAAACGAAAGTAAAGGAGAAATCATCTATGCTGGTAATTCTTTTTTATGAGAGTTACTGCTTTATCTGTTGCCTGCTCCTGCAAGGCTTCTTTTCCCCATTTCACCTTTCTGGGACAATGTCTGACTCAAGTCTCCACTCAGGAGTTTCCAGAGTGGAACAGTGCCAGCAAGATGAGCAGTGGAGAATGAAGTGGAGAAGGATGTGCCTGGAAATCCAGAGGGATCAATACAGTAAAAAAAAAAAAAATGGCTAGAGAATATGCCAGACAGGAGGGATGGAGTATTGATGTATGTTCAAAGTGCAACCTGGACATAGTAGCTCTGTTTGTGGAGCATGAAGTGTAGGGTGCTATGTGAGAGAAGAATAGAGCTAAATCTTCATATGTGTGATTTCAATTTATCTCTATTCAATTATCAAGTACATTTACAGGCATAAAATAACAAATGTGAGCAAGTTTGAAGTGCTTTGTGTGTCCTTTCACGTGTTAGTGCTTTCACATGTTATTAGTTTTGCAAGAAGTAGATTTGCTTGTTATTTGCTTTCCCTTTTTTTGGTTTCAGCTTTGCTAACCTTTTTGTTTTGTGTTGTTCTGAAGATGCACACTGACTGTATGTTTGTGTTTTTTAGCTGCTTACAGGGTTGTAAGAAACCAAGGAAACTATGGCAATGTTAGTGTGTCCTGGGTTGTTGACCCAGCATGTACCAATGACATCTCTCCAGAACAAGGGACTCTTTTCTTTGATAATCTGGAGTTTTCAAAAAATATCACCATTTACTCGCTGCCAGATGAGGTAAGCATTTTTACAATGTTTTTGTGTGAATATATGGGACAAAAGGTGCTTGTTAAAACATTACAATTTGAGGAGAAAGAAGGAATGGCTGGTTTTTAAGAGCCTCGTAAGTATTTGTAGGAAAAATCAAAGCACTACAGTAAAACTGAGATTGCTTCAGCGACTCATAAAAGAGTTTGAGAAGCTGTGCATACCTATAAAAAAATTAGAAGTAAAGAAGGGTAGTTGAATGTTGTTAAATTATAGAAAAGTTCATTTGAATAAAAGCTTTGTTTTGTCAGCCTAGTTTTTATTTTTAATGCTGATACATTTTAAGTAATATAAGAAAGAATGAGAATAATTAATAATGAATAAATAAAGTTGTAAAAATAAATTACATGTATCAGCATCAGGAAACTGCAAGATAACTTTTCGGTCTTCTATACAACATTTCTTATGCAAGAAATTAATTTCGTAATACTTTCTCTTTCAGGTACCTGAGGAGATGGAAGTATTCATCATCAGCTTATTCAATGCTACCGGTGGAGCCAGGCTGGGCAATATAACCAGTGCAATTTTACAAATTGCAAGGAATGATGATCCCATTTATTTTGCAGGTTAGATATTATTGTTTTTAAAGGTGGAATACATATACTTCCCCAAGCAGATTTTATTGACAGACCAGATCATTGAGAAATCCTAATTCCAGTGGAGTTAGTATAAAACGTTCATGGTTTTGTTGTCTTGATTTTGTACTTGTTTCCTTCAAAACCTTCCCTTATTTTATTTCATTATTCTCTTTGTTGATTTTGAAATTGGTTAGATGGCTAAGTACAACTTGGAACTGCAAGGATTTCCAGGCCTTTACTACATATGCCCTTCTGTTTCACTTGGGAGAAGAATCCTCTTGGGAAGGATTAAGAAAAATAGGTCACATGTAAGGAGCTCAGGCTTAAACTCAGGTAGATCTGTTGCTTGTGTGTTTTCAGAACCTCTGACAGTGAGCGTTAAAGAAGGAAGTGTTGCAAACTTTACAGTCCTAAGGAATGGATCTGCTGATGTTGCTGTTGCTGTCCAGTATATTACTGTTAATGGAGATGCAACCGCTGAAGAGGGAGACTTTGTTTCCAGTGGAAAGAACAGTATCATTTTGTTCAGTGTTGGAGAAAGAGAGCAGAATTTATCTGTGTATATTAATGATGATGATACCCCTGAAACTGATGAAATATTTTATATCTTCCTTTTGAATGCTACAGGTAAAAGTAATGATTTGATGTATGTTTAGTAACTCTCCTTCTTTTTCCTGCCATTTTTTACCAACTTGGACTTATCATAAAGCAATGTATATATGCCAACTATTACAGGAATAAGGATTACTTCACATTTCTATACAATTACTGTACACACTGTGTTTGAATTTTCATCTTGAAATGTTTAGTTGGAAACAAAAATCAAACTATACAGCTGAAATCTTTCCCGCAAAAACAACTGTAGTGAAAGTTTATTTTCATAGAATCACAGAATCATAGAATGATTAGGGTTGGAAGGGACCTTAAAGATCATCTGGTTCCAACCCCCCTGACATGGGCAGGGATATGCTCCAAATTAGATGGACTTTTGACTTGACTACAGAAACACAAGGCTAAAGAATATTAGTACTGCGACAGTCTTAGAGAAAGAGGGTTTCTTTCAGATTTTTTGTCATGCTCTAGTGTATACCACACAACTGCCTGATTTTTGTAAAAAAACAAACAGAACTGCCTTATTTTGGAGGAAAACCATGTAAATTGGTCTCTGTTGTATTTTTGTAGTAATGCAATGTATGCATACATTTTTTTCAGTCTGACATGATAGTTTTACAAGGCTTAATCTACAGAAGAATGTATGTTAGAAATTACCCGATGTACCACCACTGCAGAATGGGTTTATTATCTTAGTAATAACATAGTGGTTTGTTTTCTTTAAAAAAAGTTACTATTTAGCAGGAAAAGATACAAAATATGATGGAATAAACCATCACTGGTATGTAATATTGATAAGAAAATATAATGGAAATGCAAGAAATAGATACATTTTGCTGGGTTTTGCCTGCTTATATAAGGCCCTGCCTACCCCTAGCCCTGCCAAAATTCACGATATAGTGAGAAAGTAAATTACAATTGTTTTAGCAAATTTTAATGATTTACTGTCCTTCAGGTGTTATTATTCTGTAGCTGAAAGGTAGTAACAGGCTGTGAATGCACTGCATGTATTTGCAATGCAAACCAAAACTGAATTCAAAAACCATCAAAATGAGGACTAAGAGTTGAGGGGCTGTAATTTAATAAAACAAAGGAAAACTGTGACAATTAAACATCAGACTACACCTTCATATTAGATTGTGTGGTAGGTTCACAATGTAAAATACCTATCGGGGGTTCAATTCAATAGGAGGAAAATAAAATCAGATTTCTTCATTTAGACCTGTGCTAAGTGTCTAAGCCCTCATTAGAGTCTGTAATGATCTGATTCATAGTTAGTGAGACTAAGAGAGTGCTTCAGATCACGCAAAAGTGGACACCGTGTGGTTGGTCTATGAATTACTCACAAGGGTTCATTGATCTCGAACCGCATCTGCCCTAGACATTGGTAGCAGGCAGCCAGAGAGTTATAGGGGAATTTTTAGCAATTATTTGAGTATAAGGTAGCTTATGTGTTTCCTGAGGTCAGCTTGCATTCACTCTGTTACCCAGGTCTCTTACAGAGTATCAGACTTGCAGAAAGGATTGGACAAAGCCATTCTTCTCCTTTCTTAAATTTTCTCTTCAATGGCTTCTTTCTACTTTAGTAACTTTCTTCGGGATCTCATGTCTTGCTCTCTGCATGAGGTGCTACTTAAGTATATTTACTCTGATTCGCCTGAATATCTCACATTTGTTTTGACTGATTTTTTTATTGTTCATTTCTTTGTATAAAAGCGTTTGGTGTGGAGTTGGAAACACCTTCAGTTTTAGAGTTGCCTCCATTTCTGATTCAAGGTTTTTTTTTCAAATTAATCACCCTCTTTTTAGGGGACACCGTTATCTTTAAGGCTGGAGTGGCTACAGTTATTATTGAAGCAAATGATGATCCTAATGGAATTTTCTCCTTGGAACCTTTAGAGAAGCCAGTGGATGAAGGCAAAAGTAACAATTTTTTGTAAGCAACTTTTAAATAATACTTTCGCTTTTTTTTGAACTGATGTATGTGGTACTTTATGGATAGTTCTTTGATCTAATCCCATACAAGTTTGCATTCATAAAGATGTTTTAAAGAAAAATAGCTTTACCAAATTTTGGATTAAATTATTTGTAAACATATTGAAGACATCAGCTGTTGTATTATTAAGCTGACTGTGTGTATTAAAATACATACAGAAATTCATGTTAGAATGTAAATAAATAAGACTGCAGCATTGTTGTTTTTGCTATATTCTCAGTAATCTTTAGATCAGAAGAACCTAAATGATTGAGCAGAATATAACCTGGACTAACAGAGAAATAAAAAATCTTCTCAAAATACAGCTAAACACAACTACGTGGTTCATTTCTTTTTGCACCTTACTTTGAAGTCTTTGTTTGTTTTAAGGTCTTGAAGCAGATGCCTATGACTGTGAATTAGGTCTTTGTGCTTGTGTGAGACATCTGAAAAATTAAAGCCCTTGATAAAAGAGGATATTAAATAGATTATGTGTTTAGTTTTATTATGCTTCTCTTTGTATTTTTTTTTTGTCCTTTATAATCTTATTTGTAGGATACATTTTTTTGATGATGGTGTGAAGAATGATGATTTGAGCTAAACATGTTTATATACAGGTGTTTTGTGGAAACACGTGACACCAAGGTCACCAGCATTTGAGGACCTTGCTCAGTGCTTGTTGGTGAAATATATTTACTAGGGAGCTGAACTATTATACGTTCATATTTATTATTTACATAATAGAAGTGCAAGACAAACTGATGTTTAGTGTAACAGAACTACTTTGCATGGACCTGTATTGGTTACTTTTTTTGTAAGATACCCGTGGTATACCTGGGAGTAGAATTACACTGTAAAATTGTGGGCCCTCAAAGAGGATTGTATTATTGCTCATGGTTGTATTTACTGTTCATGGTTATTTAGATTGTTGTTGTATATTATTTTTAATGGTAAGGAATATTAGTGTAATCATGTTTTCCCTTGCTAATGAATGTCAGTATGTTCACTCTTTCTGTGTCACTGAACAGAGTTTTGAGACATAGAGGATGCTTTGGCAATGTCTCATTGATCTGGCAGCTGTTTGATAATGACTCTGTGCTGAGGCCGGGAGAAGAGTTCTATGAAACATATGGGAGTTTGCACTTCATGGATGGTGAGGGATCAAAGCCAATAACACTCCATGCTATTTCAGATGGAATTCCTGAATTCAATGAATTTTATATTCTGAAGTTGGTGAATGCTTCAGGTATTGTCTTCCATATCACCATTCCCTTCATATCTGGTAGCAAAGAATTATGTTTAACCAATCAAAAAGAAACCAACCCCGGAAAGAGCTTTACTTTGAATCATATCTTGATATCCTATACTTTTTTGGTAAGGCTTTAGATTTTATTTTTAATTTAATCTTAATTTAGGTATATGAGTGCAGTTATTAAGTTCTTCAATTACTGTTGCACACATTTTGGTGATCTGACCTTTTAAAATGTTGCCTTTTGGTGATTTCAGAAATATAAATCTTCATGTAGTTGCAGACAAAATAAAATTATTACAGGCTATTCATGTCTACCATAATGGAGGTTGGTTGGTTTGTTGGCTTTTTTGTAGAGGAGGTAAAATACATATAGTTACCACTTCATATGACTTAAATTACAACTACTATAGGTCTGATCCTGAGCAGACTTACAAATCTCCTGGACTCATCCCATCTCAGTACTATTTATGGTCTTCTGTACCAACACAAAACTGAAAATATGTGTTGACCTTTCCTTTAAGTGAAATCCATATGCATATAGAGAAGATTTTTTACTTATAGTAGGTACATCACTGCACACTTTGAACATGGAGGCTCTACTTCACATCATGGTCTTCGTATCAGGAATTCTTACTGTGCAGAAATAGATAACTATTGGCAGGACTTGGAAACAGTTTTAATACTCAACTGGTTACTAACTTTGTGAGGTATCTCTGCTTCTGTTTCAGAAGCAATGGGCCAAATTTTGCCACTCCATATTCATGTAACTCTTGGAATAAAATGAGAACTGAATTTGGCCCCATGTTTATCAAATTAATCAAAGGTAAACTATCTCATTGACTAATTCAGAAAAAATGGAGCTTATCTTGTTTTGCCTGAAACTGTATGCTTTGCATTTGAAAAATATCGTACTGCTTTGTATTCTATGAAAATTTTGTCTCTATAGTATTTAAAAACAATACAGTTAAATTATGTTATTTTTAAATTAGAGCATTTTCTAAAAGTTCAGAGATTCTTCAAAGAACATTCAGCCCATTTTAGTAATGTATTTAAAAAACCCCTATAAGTACTTAGTTACTTTTTTGGATTGTGTTGTTTGAAACCGACCATTAACTTTTGCTCTAACTTCCATTGTATAGGTGGGTCTCCTGGTCCTGGTGGTCAGCTATCTGAAGCAAACCTTGCTGTAACTGTGATGATCCCATTCAATGATGACCCTTTTGGAGTCTTTGTTATAGATCCAGAGAGCCAGGACAGAGAGATTGTGGAAGATGTTCTGTCTGAAGATGATCTTTCCTATATTACAGACTTCACCATCTGGAGAGAACAAGGCACCTTTGGTGTTGTCCGATTAGGTTGGGAAATACTGTCTAGTACATTCCAAGCTGGACTACCATCAATGGTAGACTTCTTGTTGCTGGGATCGTTTCCAAATTCAGTACAATCCCAGCCTCAGATGAGGCGCCGTCACAGTGGAACAGATGCTTTGTATTTCAGTGGAGAAGAGGATGCATTTGGGACTATTGGTCCGGAATACCCATACAATGGAAATACTGCAGTAACCAACTTTACATTTTCGGTGTGGTTAATTCCTAATGTCAGTACTGATGGTTTTATACTTGAAAAGGATGATGGTAATGGAACCTTATATTACGGCGTGAAAATCCAAACGAATGATTCTCATGTTTCTGCTATCCTTCATTATACAGCATTAGGATCCAATATGACATATATGGCTAAAGTAGCAGTTTTGAAATATCTGGATGGAAATACTTGGCTTCACCTTCTGATTACTCTGGATGAAAGTATAATTGAATTTTATATGGATGGAATTCCTGTTCTGGAAGGAATTAAAAGCCTTAAAGGAGAAGCAATTACTGATGGTGAGCCAATAACCTGAATTATTTTTCTCCTTATATTAAGTTCTAAAATGTGTGGAAGAGTAGCTCCTTGACAGGTGTATGCAAGACACTGAAATTATTATATCTGATTAGTTAATTGAAAAGCATGAGTAGAAAATTTTGAGGGTTTTCAAAAGGCATATGGAAATTAGAGCTGTGAAAGTTCCAAATAATTCAGAACTATAACAGAGCTTGGATTGCAATAATTTGAAAATAAATTTATAATGTATAATTGTATTATATATGTATGCTTATCATGTATACATACAGTTATATTGTTAGCAATTAACAATTTCCGTAAGATATACAGCATTGTAGCTGAGAAAGGACTTTTTTCCTCTTGGTTTCTGAAACAAAATGCAATAGCAATTTCATTTCTGGTTGTGTATTATATTACAACTGAGCCAGTGTCTTTAAGCAATAGAATTTTTCGGAGTGTAGATTTACTTAAGTATGTATTTATATGGTATATTAAAATTATGCCTGTAAGTTTAATAGCATTCCAAAGAACATTAGTTTATCTAACTGGATAGTCCCAGATGTGATTTTAGTCATAGGTGACCATTATGGACATTTACAGAACTAAGACAGCAGTGACCAGGGAAGTGTCAGAACAATTCCGTTAAAAAGTCAGCTATTGTCTGGTTGGAATACATTTATATTTACTCTTTCTTCTGCTGTTTCCCACTCTTCCATGTGCATTTTTTTTCTTGGAGATCAGCTCCATCCTTTTTCCATTCTTCCTCTTGCCTTTGGTTTCACATGTTTTCTTTGGTGCGGATAGGCAGTGACTGATTACCAAATTCTTGAATCCAGTCTCCTTGTCTGTAATCAAAGAAGGAGAATTAGAAAAGATACAGTGATGTTAAATGCATACACATGTACATGAATATATGTACACAAACATAGAGTGAGGCTAGAGAGGAGACTTCATGAATTGTGTAGCATAGTATTTTATTTCTGCCTGTAAATTTCCAGTAGTTGAAGTCTGAGAAATTAATTTGCTCCCTGTAACAAAGTAGTGTCTCTGCAATTAATAATTTCCATCAGACTTGTAATACTGTAGCTGAGAAAGGATTTTTTTTCCCCCTCAGTTTCTAAAACAAAGATGGGTGAGATGCATAATGATTTTGTTGCTATGAGGATATGTCTGTGTTGTTGTAAATTTTCTGTATTAGCAGACATGGCATATACTCTGTCTGGAGATACTAGAAGTATAAGGTAAGGATTCAACCTCTCTCCAGTTAATGTTGGATACTACACAGTGGTGAGCATAGTACCCCAGTTTTTCTCACCATCCTTCACCTTGTGTAATTGGACCATGGTCAGCTGCTGTGGTTGCTCATCTGTGGAACTGACACTCAGTGTCACACGTATACCAATACATTCACAGTTTCTTCCAAGACCAGAAAGCACCTGGAAAGAGGAGAGATCCATGTGTTTTAGCACAATAGGAATGAGCATGAGCTACCAGCTTAGTATATTTGTGAAAAAGGCAGCTGTGGTCCTATGATTTGCTGAGTAGGATAATTGTTTGGAGACAAAGAAGTATTAATCCTATTGTAAAATGCATTTGGAATTTGATGAACACATCTGAAGTTCTTATTCCCAGTGCATTAGGTGAAAAGCGTGTCCAGAAGGGATAAGGAGGTGATGATGAGTGTCGTCAGAATGGATCCACTGTGCTAGCAGAGAAAGAAAAAAGGGTGTCTGTCCTGCAAAAGAAATGCTGAGAGGGGTGGCAGTTGTGCTCTGCAAAGTTCTATCTCAAGGAAAAGGGGAGGTTTCCAACTCTCATAAAAACAAGGGATGATGACAGTGTGCTGGTAGAACGAGTAGGGTGAAAAACTTGAACAGTCTAGGATAGAATTGTTTGACCTGTGATGATCACTGAGGTAAGGCTCAAGGAATGTCCCGATTTTGCATTTCAAAACCAATACGATTCCGAATCCAGAATAAACACTTCGCCAATGACTTTTAACAAATACAGCTGTTCAGTTGCAGTTTTATTGCTTTGAAGAAATACAGTAACTTATGGAAAATTACTATTTCCTTCTCAGGTCCAGGAATAGTCAGAATTGGAGCAGGAATCAATGGCAGCAGTAGGTACACAGGGGTAATGCAGGACATGAGGCTTTATGAGCGTAAATTGACACGAGCAGAAATCTACGAACTCCATGCAACTCCTGCAAAAAGTGATGTCCACCCTGTCTCTGGATACTTGGAGTATCAGCAAGGAGAAACCAATAAATCATTCATTGTGTCTGCGAAGGATGACAAAGAGGAAGAAGGAGAGGAGTTGTTCATCCTAAAGCTAATTTCTGTGCGTGGTGGAGCTCGAATTTCACAAGAAAATATCACAGCAAGATTAAGAATACAGAAAAGTGATAATGCTAATGGTTTATTTGGCTTCACTGGAGCATGTATTCCTGAGGTAAGGTGGGGGCATAAGAAAAATTGTAGGTAAAATTTTGGACAGAAAAAAATTAATGGCAAGAGCAATTGACATGTAGAAGGCCTGAATTTCACATTGCTAGTTTTATAGTTAAGCAAAGTTTTTGTAGAATTTGGAAATGTGTAAATTCTGTTAATACAGCATCAGTCTCACTGCCAGTTGAAATATCGTTTTTAAAAATACCCCAAAATTATTTTTGTTAGGAAAATTGATTTTATTACATAAACTGAAGGCTAAGGCTTAAATTTTTCTAGAACATTTTTACATTTACTTATGTCACATCTGAGTCTGGGTTGGCAATAAAAATGTAAGATTTAATTTTTTTTTTTTGGAGAAGGGATTACTACAAAGATTTTTATTTTAGTTTTCTGTGTTACATGATATGTTTGAAAGAATTTTACTAAAGGTTGTGCAATGACAAAGTGTGATGTATTTTTCACAATCATTTGCTGTCATAAGATATAAGGTATACGTTTTATAGGTTAGGTGTGAATTCAGTTGATACTATCTGTGAGTTGGGTTTTTTTTAAACATTAAATTGTTCTTTGGTAGTAGCTACCATATATGCAATATATAAACTTGCTACTTTTTTGGGGAGGGTTGAAATAAACATAATTCATTTTTACTTCTTTTATCAGTTATGAGGGAGAAAGACATGACACCTGTTTCTACTGGTATTGGATTATTTTGCAAAACAAATTTCAGAATACTTTCCAATTTGGGAACTCCCATGACTTTTTAATTACATTCTTTCTAACAAAAGTGTTTATGATGTGTTTGAAAATGATCATCTTGCCTGAGTGATACTGGTTTTCAATTCAATTCACTTTGGTTTCTATGTGCCTGCCATATGCTATGATAATAGATTCCTTCAGTTTCAAATGCCACTGATAATACTGTGATGCCACAGATCGTCAACCAACCATGAAGCAAAATTAAAAATTTATATAGCATTTTAATTGTTTTGCACTTACCTTATGCCCATTTCACCAGGGAAGTGTTAGAGCTCTCAGTGATGATGCCAGTACACAGCATTGTTTTATGAGTAGTTTAATTGCTTTATGTGTGTATCTGTCTGCTTGGCAGCTGAAGGCACATGCAGTAACTGAACTGTGTTATATAGCAGCTCTGAAATTTATCTAATGCTTAAGATACATAGCTGTAGTCTTTCTGGCAATTTTCAAATAAAATTATTTTATATTTTAGGTCCATGATAATTTTCTAAAATATATGGTCAGTATCAATACCTACTTTGTTCCAAATATGCAAAATTGTTGAGACTGAACTAATGTTCTCTGTGAACACAGACTTGTAGAGGATTGTAGCGCAGAAAATTTTTCAGTTTTTCCTGAATGATGATAGTATAGTTTAATTTTAATGTATTTGGGTTTTTTTTACATTGTGTTTCTAGCTGGGGAAAGGGGGAATCCAAATCTTTCTTTAAATTATTGCTAAAGAAGATTAAAATAATTAACATTAATATAAAATAACAGCTTCAGTTGCTTTTGACATGTGCATTTCAAGCATATTGATTCTGTCTTTGGCATGTAGTTTGGGGGAAGAGACTGTGTCCAAAACAAACAACAGAATCTAGTTGTTGGCTTACCTGTACAGTCTTCAGAGAGATACTAGAAGCAGTTACAAATTCCTGAAAGCAATGTGACAGCAATTTTGTGCCTGAACCTTTGACTAGCATTAGGGAATTTGATATTTGCATTTATTGCTTTGGTTTACTTTGACAATAAAAACCATTTCAATTTCTTGCTTATTTCCAGACTGCTGATGAAGGTTCCACTATATCCTGTGTTGTGGAGCGTACAAGGGGAGCCCTAGACTATGTGCACATAAATTACATTATCTCACAGGTTGATTCCACTGGCGTTAATTACTCTGTTACCGATTTTTCTAACAGCAGTGGCACTATCACATTCCTTCCTTGGCAGAGATCAGAGGTAAACCCTACCTTCCTATTAACTGTTTATCCTATCCTTTGCAAACCTACTAGAAAATACCTTCTGAGGATGCTTGACTGGTTTTCATACTACAAAGTGTTTCCTTCACATGGCTTCTATTATATTGTGCAGGGTTTTTTGCATCCCTGACAACAAACAAGTGATAGATGATAGAGGATTATAGATCTGCATGTATCTTGGCTCAGGGACCACCATGTGTGCATGTATGTTTGAATGCATATAATATACGAGATATGTTTACATGTTATGTGTGAGATACATTACATATGTGTTAGATTTGTGTATATCTATATGTATACTTGACGTGTAGATAGTCCTGGGCTGAATAAATGTATCCAGCTACTTTTAAATTGGAAAAGGATCAAGTTTTGATCTGAGTTTTGGAACTCAGATTTATCTCCACATCCATTAAGCAGACAGTAGTAAGATTGACTGATGTAATCTTGCAACCTCCGTTGGCCACATTCTGTCCCTTTTTGCTTAATCTGTTTCTATTAATTCAGTCCTGACACACATCATGGGAATTTCACATTTATTTGAAGAGGAGGTGTGGGACCACAATACTGTAGAAAGTTAATGTGTGTTTTCTATTAGTGTTCACAAAATAGAAAAGGTGAATTATTAGTAGAAAATGCTGTCCTCGGTTTCACTTTTATCACTCTGCTGATGTCAGTATGGACAGGCTGAAACTCACTGGTACCATTTGGTCCCAGTGGCTCTACTAGAACTGTGGCTCTGGTCCCAGTTGAAACAATGTAAGTGATTAGAGCTTGGCAAAAGCTTGTGATATCTGAAAATAGTTTGTTCATGTCACTGTTCATTCGGCTTTAATTTTCCATTGAATCATATTACTGGGTTGCATACAGTTGTATAAGGCAAATGTTTCCAAAGCTTTCCTAGTCTGGCAGCATGGGTGAGGCCTGTCTTATCAGATCTAGTGGCAGAAAAGGGCTGGTGTACCCTTGCTTCACTGCTATATGGTCCAGTTTGTTGTATACCTATGGAGGAATTAGTGTGCATGGCCCTAAGAAACAGTTTGGGAACAGTTTCTCATCAGGTGAGATATCCTAAGAAACCTTCCATTGATATTTGTAAGCTACTCATTCCCATGCCTCTAAATACAATCAGCTACTTAAACCTTTTCTTCTACGCTTGTCTAACCATGTCAAAATATATAGAAAGTTGGAACTGTCTGAGGTGAATATGTTAGCCTGTACAGAGCAGGTTATGTTAATAGTAGTATGATCTGCAATCTCAAGTGTCAGATGATATAAAAAGCTTACTTTACTTGACATCTAAATTGGATTAATCAGGGTAATGTCTCTTCAGAAGCACAGTGTCTTCAAGATTTTGAAATCTATCAGATATTTTCAATATACACAATCTAAATTACGCTTATATTAAGGTAGATAATAAATAATTGCTTGCTTGGTTATGTATTTATGTAATTTGAAGCACTTAAGAAAATATGCCTTCCATCTCCAGTAGCTTGGTAAAGTTGTTATTCAAATGAATGTTCTAAACATAAAATATTATTATAGAAGTTAGGTTAAATTACGTGGAAAGCAAAAATGTTGTCTACATTACTTTCAGAACTACACAGCAGATACAACTGACTGACTAATGAAAGAATTTGATGAGTAAAGCAGGGTCATGAAACTCATAATTCTTATATTAATATCATGATGAGCACAGTTTGATTTCTCCATGATTTGGTCCTTCTCTAGGTCTTAAATTTGCATGTTATTGATGATGAGATTCCGGAGTTAAATGAATATTTCCGTGTGACGTTAGTCTCTGCAGTATCTGGAGATGGAAAACTAGGTTCAACTCCTACCAGTGGAGCAAGTATAGATCCAGAAAAGGAAACGACTGATATCAGCATCAAAGCTAGTGACCACCCATATGGTAACAATGATGGAGATGATACAGTCTTGTTGCAGATTATTCTATGTTTCTAGCTCAACTGATAAAACCTTTGCTTAGCCTTGATAGGTGACAAAGCAATACCAAGAATTCCATTTTATCTAACTTGAGATTAATTAATAATTTTATACAAGAGTAAGGCTGAGTTACTTACTCTTGAGAATATTTGAAAAAGGCATCAAAGCTGCCCTGACCAAACAGGCAGTGATTCCCTTCTGAGAGCAAATAAAGGTTGCATGTAGTTGATCCTGTGCAAATTTTTCTCAGATGAGAATTCCTGATGAAGGTACTTCTGTGTGCTTATTATATCAATAAGAACCCAATACTATGACATGTTGAGGCTCTTTTGGGAAGAGCTGAATTCATTATTGTGGCTTTGTCAAGACTGATATGGTTATCAGTGAGAGAGGGGAAGGTACACAGCACATCCCTGGAAATAACATGATTGGGTCCTAAGGCCATATCAATAATTGTCATTTAATTCCAGAAATGTTAAATATAAATATTATAAATAATTTGGTTTCAAGTTGTTATAATAATTTAAATTTGGTACAAAAAGCTATATAAATATTACTTCTTGTCTGCCAGGTCTACTACAGTTCATGGTGGGACCGCCTCCTCAGCCAGGTGATGAAATGATTCTGCCAGCTTCTGCTGTGCCCTATGTTACTGTTAAAGAAGAAGTTGGACATATCAGGTTACTGGTAGTTCGTGCACAAGGCCTTCTTGGAACAGTTCTGGTGGAATACAGAACAGTGCCACTTACAGCTTTCAGTTCTAAAGATTATCAGGTATGGCTGTTACCAAGGTGTGTACTTATTTTAGAATTTAATTTGAGTTATTTGTCCTGGAGATAACCTTCAGTGTGAGTATTTTAACCCAGCTGTTATTCTTTTCACAGAAACACTTTGATTTATGTGGTGATGTGATAAATGAATGTGTAATACTCACTTGAAAAAATATATACCATTATGTGACTTTTACTTCCTTTCTCTGCAGCATGTTGTTATTTCTTCAGAACAGTCTCTCATTTTGATTTTTTTTGCTTAAGAGAATTGTCAATGCAGCAAGAAGGGACATTTACTATTCTTGCTGAGTATATCAGACTTTATATGAGCATTCAGGTACATGTACACGTTAAGATTGTGTCTGCACATACTAGGATATGTACATGTTGAACAAAATAACCTGTAAGTATCTGTGTTTGCTTATCTAACTGACATTTGTGCAGAAAAAAGTAGATGAATGCAGATGCTCATGATTCTGTAAATTTAGATGCCTTTTTCTCATAACAAAACTCAGCAGATTTTTTAAAAGCTTAAGTGAAGTAGATGTTTCAACAAAAACAAAATCAAGGTTTAATTTTCTTTTTTCATATGGATGAAAACATTAGGCTTGATCAAAAGTGTGAAGAATTTTCATATTGCAGGCTGCTGCGGGCACACTGGAATTTCAGCCAGGAGAAAGATACAAGTACATTATTGTTAACATCACTGATAATTCTATTCCGGAATTAGAAAAAACTTTTAAAGTGGAGCTGTTGAACCCCGAGGGAGGAGGTAAGGCATGTACATCAATCCATTGTTTATATTTTCATGATCTCAACTCATCCATTAAAATTTTACCTTTTTTAGGTGTACTATTTCCATGTTATTTCTAAAGACAAGCAAACAACCCCATATCCCCCAGACAGCTGTAATTTTTCTTAAGAAAGAGCTGTTCTTCAAATATTTTGTTAATCATCACTATCCCAAAGAAAGTGTATTATCATGACCTAATGGCCAGTTAAAGGCCAGTGCTGCTTTTCACATTGCATAATTTCATGGTTGGTAATGAGAATTAAAGTAATGTAAAAACAATTGAAAAAAAAGATTTTTTTTTTAATTTTATAATATTTATAAAGTAATTAAGGCTAACAGCCAAAGTGGTGTTTTTTTTTCTGCCACTTGAGTGAAATCAGAGGAGAAAACACAAGTGTATGCTTTTTCTTTCCTTCTGACCTCCTATTGCTACTTCCAGTGTCATGAATTTAATAAGAGGTGGCATGTAAAATACTTTTTCTGGCTTTTGTCAGAAATCCTGTATGCTTTCATATTCCAAACTGATGCCTTCCTAGAATGTTTCGCTCTCTTTTTGTGTTGTCCAGAAATGTTTAAATTACTTTCTGCTTTCTCTTTATTTATAAATGTATATATGTGTGTATATCTGTGTGTCTGTCATCTTAAAGTTGCTGAGCTCTTTAGAAATGATGGCAGTGGTAGTGGTGATGGGAACATCGATTTCTTCCTTCCAACTGTCCATCAACATGGTAAGCATTTTGGATTAACTCTATTTTTTTTTTTTGCTAACTGTAATATCCCCCATAAATCACTTTATTGACACAACTTGGAATAGTTTTACTTTACTCGTAGTTACAGCTGATTCATTTAGATTTATCACAACGTTCTGTCAAAATATTCTTTTCCATTTTAATTAAGGCATACTTTGAATAGCAGGTAGTGTTTAGTGTAACACAAAAAATGACAGCTTCTGTACCATCAAAACTATATTGTTATAAAACATAATACAGTTATTCCAGAAGTACAGTTTGCAAAATTGATTTTGTTTCAAGATTGTCAAATCTTCTGGACAGCAAAAAAAGCAAAGACGCTATTTAAATTTGAGGTAATTTAAAAATTACCTGACTGTATGCTTTTTATGTGTGCTTTATGTTACCTTGATTCTCTGTATGTCAAAAATACTCTTAAAGGAAGCCCTCTTAGATTTTTTTAAAGGAATGTTTTGGTTGTTTTTCATTTATTCTCATTAAGTGTGTATTTACATCTTGACATACAGAAAAAAAAATTAATTTAATCCTGATAAAATTAAAAAAAATATTAGATGTAAAAATAACATAAAATCTGAGGGAAAACCCTAATAATATAGGATTTCAGATTAAACCCTGCAGACCTCGAAATGTTATATAAGCACCCATTATCCAAACTGAATAATTTATTCCACTGTGACAGCCTGATTTTAAATTTTATTTGTACGTACAAAAGATTTCAGTTTAAATCTAAGAGTAAGTCTGCCGTTTAGCCACTTTTTGGAGCTTCCTGGTTTTTTTTGAAGTCCTATTTCTTTTTTTCTTGTTTCTAGAAATGGTTTTCCGAAGTGCCAAGCCCTTTTTCTCTCTGAGCAGCAGGTTATCTCACCCAAGACAATCTTTTTAGTATCAGGATTTGCCAGACTTGTTTTTTTCCTTTTTCCTTACAGCTTGTGTTATGATGAGACCTCCTTTTGTGTGGTCTATCTGCTTACACTGTGGTTTACCATATTGCTCCCCACCATCCTAAATTCTGCTCTATGTTCATTTATTAAACCTGTAATTTTATTTCTGTTCCTCCCTTAAAACATTCATATTTATTAAATTTCTTTGGTACATTGTTCTATAGAAAGACTCCCAGGACTGATTAATTGAAATTCAGTTCCTTGTCAGTGTGGATGGTTACCACATATCTTAAAAAAAAACAAAGACAAAACAGCGCAGATACTCCAGTTATGCTCTCCTTCTTATTTTTTGTAACAAATGTCTTTAGCTATTTTCTCTCACGTAAGAAAAAATGCTAGAAAAAATAACCCTTTTTGGAACTTGCATTTACAGCTAGCTTGGGAATTGCATCCTGCATCCTTGTGACTATTGAGGCTTCTGATGACGCTCATGGTGTGTTTGAGTTCAGTGCTGAGTCACTCTCGGTAAATGGAACTGAGCCTGAGGGTGGAGACAGCAGTATTGTGCTGCAGGTCAGAGAGCTTTGAGTCTCATATTGCTGTGCAGTCCTCTTCTGTCTCTGTTTTTAGTGAGCATTCTGAAATGTCTCTAGGGTTTATAACTTAACTTTATCATGCACATCTGTTCTTATGTTTCATACAGAGTTTTCTAAAGTGAATCGTTCAGCTTGAAGGTAAAATGATATAATAATAATATTCATACGTTTAAAATTACTTTTTGTTTACATTTGACGTACTCCTATTCTAAAATAACAGTGTTGATGATGCGACAAATACAGCAAAACTGAGATAGTAAAGATTAGACTGTTTTGTTAAAACACAAATTTATTTTTAACCCATCATGTCAATGTCTTTGCTTAATCCCATCTTATACTTCTATGTTTTTCTTTCTCATAGAACAAAAATATGCAGGTCTTTGTATTTTTCACTTAGGTTGTGAGAACGCATGGGGCCTTGTCTCAAGTGACACTGCATTGGATCATAGACTGTAATCTTACCAAAGACCTGATCACTACAGATGGGAATGTAACATTTGATGTTGGCCAAGCAAGAGCAAATATTACAGTACAGGTTTCTCCTGATGAAGTTCCTGAGTTGGATAAGGTGTTTTCAGTTTTGATCATCAATGTCTCTAGTGGTCGTCTTGGAAATCATACTAATGCAACATTAACTATTTTAGCTAATGATGATCCATACGGAGTCATCATCTTTTCTGAGAGAAACAGACCTATAAAAATTGAGGAAGAAACAAAAAATATCTCCCTGACAATAATAAGGTGTGGTGGTCTTCTTGGTACAGTAATGGTAACATACAGAACTATGGGCGATGATGAGAAGTCACCCTTTCTTCCACCTGATGTTATTAGAGCAATAGAGGGAAAAGATTACATACCCATTACAGGTCACACAATCTTGGCAGCCAATCAAAGTGAGGCCACAATATCTTTGCCTATTTTGGATGACGATGATCCTGAGAGGTCAGAATCTGTTTTTGTGGAGCTAAGCAGTATTGTTCTCATCGAGAAGGTGCAGGATCGGCCAAGTAAGTATCTTATACACGTAAAACCTACAATTTAAATATGAAGGCTAGTATTTTTATTTAATAGGATAAAATGCAGCAAGTTAAACGATAAACTTTTTACCTCTGCCGAACTCTGTATATTTAAGAAATCTCTGGGTTACTTGCCTTGTGTGCTGTTAGCATATATTTTCCTTAGCACAGTATTCTGTCAGGGATGTACGATCTTTTCTTTATCCATTTTGCATCGTGTTATCCAAGGTCTGTCAGGCCAAATATGTACAGTATGTGTTCTCTGCACTAATACCTGTTCATCTAGTGTTGTTTTTGTAAAGTTCAGTATCAGGCAATAACTAAGCTAATTTTGCTTACTGAAAGCCAAAAAGGTCTTGTAAAAATAAAATGGTATGGAATTACAGATATCTGATGCTTTTTTAGTGTAGAGAAAGTTTGCTTCATCTCTCATTCAGATAAATTTGGGTCATGACAGCCTGATTTTTGCTTCAATGCTTTTTGGCTTGTCTAGTTGCTGCCCCCACTCCAGAAGAATCTTGATGGGAAACTTCAAATGTAATTCTGCTAAGAGGTTGAAGTCTTGTTTATATTTTGTCATAGCAGGTGTAAAAATGAAATTCGTCTAAACAGTATTGATCTTACTACTGGCCTTATGGACAATTTAATAAACAAATTATTTCATAGTACCTCACCTCTTCAAAAAATTATGATTTGTATGCTCCACTGCAGAGTAGAATAATAAGTTATTAAAAATGTGCTTTTTCTGCCATAATATAATTAAAAGTATGTTGATGCAGTTTGCATTTATGCTTTGTCCAATTCTGAAAAAGATAGCTTTGTTAAAAGCTAGTGGTGATTAAATACTAAACTCACATGTATGTTTATAAACTCTATAGCCATAAATAGCATCTCAGGCACCCCCTCACTAAGTTTTCTTTGTGTTTCAGTTGCAAATTCTCCTCGACTTGGATTATCGGGTGAGACAATAGCTCATGTAATCATCAATGCCAATGATGATGCTTTTGGAATACTTCAGCTTTCAGCTTCAACTGTGCGAGTTGCTGAAAATTATGTTGGACCGATCATTAACGTGACCAGAACTGGGGGAATATTTGCAGATGTTTCTGTGAAATTTAAAGCTATGCCAATAACTGCAACAGCTGGTAAGAAATCAGAATAGCAGAAGTATGCGGTCTATGTTAAAGTGGAAAGAGCATACTGTATGCTTTGAGCAGTCAAAGCAAACAAGTGTGTATTGAATATGCTATTTTACAAGTACAAAAAAAAAAAAAAGTAGCAAGACATTTACTAACTCTGCTTAGCAGACAGGAATCCAATCCCTATGGGAGAGATCTTGCATCAGCTTTCAGAAAGTTCCGATACATCATCACTGAAGAGTTGAGCAAGAGAAATGAGTGAAGGAATTGGAGTGTTTGTTTCCCTAGTAGCCCACCACCTGTTCAAAAAAGGAAAATAAATAAAAATAAAAAATACTATAGTAGTGTATGTAGCTACTGTTAATCCTGTGTACATATTTAAACGCACCACGCATTGTTTAGGTGAGCTTGTTGGAGAGGAAGTCAGAGTTGGGGACTCAGCTGTAAAACAAACAGTCAAAAACCAATCAAAACCCAAGAAGATTTGAACTTCTAACAATGGGAGATTAAGTTCTCTAGTTAGTCCCTGCTATAGAGAAGTGCATAAAGGACCAAAATTATGAAGTGTGCAGGGTCAAAACCGCTTAGTTATAAATCAAACCCACTGTAATTCAGCTGTGTCCAAAAATGAATAGGCAGGTGCTATGTGCTCTAAGAACTGGCTTTCTATGTAATAGACTTTTCTAAATAAGTGTGTAGCTAGATTGATGTCAAGAGTATTTTAATTTTAACTTTTAATTAGTTTCTGCAGCAGACCCAGTATCTAATGTATCACAGTTGATCCTCTAGACGTCCTTAGAGACAAGTTTGCCTAAAGTGAGGTTCACACATGAAATGTGCTCTTAGCTAAAATCTACTTTGACAAAGGCGCTTCTGTTCACTTCTATCTCTTGGAAAGCCAGAGAGCAAATAGAAATCAAAGACAGAAACATCTTGGTAGTGTGACCTCGTCAGTGGAAGACCATAATGGACCTTTTGTAACTATCTCTTGGTCTAACAGTACAAACTCTGTTCTGGCCAAACCAAGTTTTGTTTTAATCCATCCAGTTATCTAAAAGGCAATGTGAAATAAAAAAGACTGTGTTGTCTGTATATGAAAGAAAAAAAACCCCATAAAACTGCAGAGGAATGAATGTGTAAGCAAAAAGATAAGTATTACTGGTGATGTTCAATACACTACACTATAATGCATTAATATTCTGTGGTTTTTATTGTTTTGGTTTTTTCATCTACAAATTTAGGTGAGGACTACAGTGTAGCCTCATCAGATGTCGTCTTACTAGAAGGGGAAACAAGTAAAGCTGTGCCAATTTACATAATTAATGATATCAGTCCTGAAGTTGAGGAGTCATTTTATGTTCAGCTGCTGAATCAAACAACAGGAGGAGCCTTGCTTGGATCTTTGACTAGGGCAATCATAAGTATTGAGGCTTCTGATGACCCATTTGGATCTTTTGGTAAATGAGTCTTGTCTGCATGTTTTCTCTTCTGTTAACATTTTTACTGTAGATTTGAGGGTGAGCTGTTATAGGGTGTGTGTGTGTGTATATATATATATATATGTATATGGAATAAAAACTTTCAGAAGACAAAGAGGAAGCCTGGATGAAGACAGTAAACGAAAAGATGGGATAAACTAAATGAAAACATATAATTAGGGAGTCATGGTGCTTTAATATAACAAAAAAGTATTATTTATTCAGTTGATACAGAAAGATTTGAGAATCTTCCAATAGGGATAGATGGATTTTAGTTTACTTTTTAGTTTTTTATAAGTACTGCATTTCTGCAATAGCTTTAAGCCAAAATCTGCATTCTAGTATCTGTTGCTTAAATACCTTGATATCTTGTTTTACTAGATTATCAGCCAAAGCATATTTAAAAATCCGGGGAAACAAAAATATAAAGAGAAATTAAATTACATTCTTTTATTTTCTGTTAAGTATTTTAGTTTTTCTTCTGCCTCTTATTTTCAGTAAAATGAATTGTGTGTACTTTCCAAAATTATTTTAATTACACAAGTTTTGAGGAGGGTTTTGGTGATTTCAAAAATTTAATAATATTTTAGAAATATTTTTTGTTTGTTGGGGTTTTTTTTGTGTATTTTTTCTTGCCTTTTCTTTTCACTTACCCTTTTCTCCCTTCAGTACCCTACTTAATTCCATTGTTCCATTTTATCAGTAGGAGGTGGTAAAGGAAAGAAAGAAAAAAGTAAAAAATGAATAATTCCACATGGATAATTAATTAATTCTTAAAAGCTAACATTTTAATACAATGAAAACTTATTTGAAACAGTTTTAGATGGAGTATGGTGACTTAATTTTTTAGTAAGTGACATGAAAGCTGCTAAAGAGTTTCCTTGCTGGGAATATGATGAAATTGTCTTCAAAGAGCTTAGAAACAATTTTTTGTTAGCCTTGAGCAATGGGTATGTTGGAATAAACTTTTTGGGTGAGGGCTTAATTTTGATGCTGATTTCCTCTGTAGATGAAAATATTAGTACTGAAAGTTCTCTTTTAAGTTTCAATCTGATTAAAAGTGATTTCCCTGTGCAAGTAATTGCAATCAAGTGATTTAAAACTATGTACTTCAGGAGCTGATACATTTACTTTCTATTTCATCTTTAAAGAAATACATCTTTCTGTGCTGTATTTCAGTATTTCAGATTACTGAATTCACTGTGGAGGAGCCAGAATTTGGATCGGTAACCATAAATCTGCCAATAATCCGTAATGCTGGGACACTCGGTAATGTTACTGTTCAGTGGGTTGCCACCACTAATGGACATCCTGCTGATGCGGACTTGCAGGTTGCCTTGGGTAATATTACTTTTGCCCCTGGGGAGGCCATTCAGATGTTGCTGTTGGAAATCCTGGCTGATGATGTTCCAGAAATAGAAGAAGTAAGTAAAGCAGTTACGTCTTTCTTGAATAATATTAGAGTTTTAACTTGTTATAGAAATGTGTGCATAGAAAAACAAGGAATGTTCTGGCAGGAAGGTGCAAGAAGTTTATATTTTGCTTTACTTGTGATTATTAGAAATAACAAAATTGTTTAGCTGCATTATTTCTTTTTCTTTTTTTTTCTTTTTGAGATTGTCCGTGTAGAATTAACTCAGGCCTCCAATGGTGGTGCTATTGGGTTAGATGGCGTGGCAAATATTATAATACCTGCCAATGATAATCCTTATGGCACAGTTTTCTTTCATCAATCCTTATATCGAATTCAGGAGCCACTAGAAAGAAATTTGATTGCAAATATAACAGTCAGGCGAAGGTTTGTATGATGTTTGCTTTATTTATACCTATTATTTTTTCTTTTTTTTTTTTTTTTGTCTTGGATATAATTTCAAATGTAATGCTCCTCTTGCATAAGTATTTGCATCAGTTTCTTGATCTTCTAGCTTATCTCATTTTTATTTCATATGCATTGTTTTTGAACTAGACATAAGCTTATTAGAAGTGTACATAAAGGACTTAAATGTAATATACAGTGCAATGTACAGTGTAAATCTAATGTACACCATGTAGTTGGAGTTTTATTTTGCCTATTTAATCATCAAATCATTTAAAGCTGCACAACAGCCTGCTCCTGTGGTTTGAACTAGAGGACAAAGTGGGTCAACCCTTCTGGGATGGAAAGAAATGAGAAAATGAAAACAGGTTTTATGTATGTGATACGATATCCTGAGGACACCTAGAAGGAATGATGACGAACAAAGCTGTGCAGCACAGGATTTTTCTTCCTTGTGAGCCCTAAGAAGACTAAGTTAATTCCTAGAAACAAATGTTTGCAAACATGCATTCTTAACAGAGGGCTACCCAAGCTGTAAATAATCAAACTTACTATCGACAAAAAATGACAACTCAGTTATTGTGATACTGTCTTCAGGGGAGCCTGAATTAGCTGTTTGTAACTTTTCAGCAATTCAGAAAGGACCAATCAATTTTGTTCACTTTTATTCTTAACCCAGAAACATACAGAATATTAGACATACTTAATCAACTAACATTGTTTTTTTTTTATTTTAATGTCTTTTAGTGGGGGAAGGTTTGGTCAGCTGCAGATATTTTACAGCACTTCTGAGACTGATGTCGTAGCTCTTGCCATTGAGCAGGGTCAGGATATGTTGGCCTGTTACGAGTCTCCTGTACAAGGAATTCCTGACCAACCAACCAAGACCAAAGTGAATGTGTCAGCAACAATTGACCCACTGTATGCCTGTGCAACTCAGTGCCTAAAAGAACAAGCGTGTTCAGCCTTTACATTTTCCAGTGCCTCTGAGATTCCTCTCTGCCTTTGGTGGACATCAGAGATCAGCCCACTAACTAACACATCAGGATTCTGGACCTACAAGAAAAACATCACCTGTACATCTGTTCTCTTTAGCACCCAAGCCACCGCTGGAAGTGATTATGAATCTGTTACAAGACAGTGGGCCATAATGCAGGAAGGGGAAGAGTTTGCAAATCTCACAGTTGTTTTACTTCCTGACAGTCTGCCAGAGTTGGATGAGAAATTCACTATATCCCTTCTGAAAGTTGAACTAATGAATATCTCAGCCAGCTTAAAAAATCAACCAACTATAGGACAGCCAAATACTTCTACAGTTATCATAATGAAGAATGGAGATGCATTTGGAGTATTTAAGATCTGCAGTGTAAGTCCCAATGCGACAGAGGAAGGTCGGTATGTTGAAGTAGAAGAACATCCTCAAACCAATGTGCAGCTAATGATACACAGGACAGAAGGCAGCCTGGGACAGGTGACAGTGGAATGGCGTGTCATTGGTGGAACTGCTACCCCAAACTTGGATTTTCTAGGTGTTGGTGACATTCTGGTGTTCGCTGAAGGTGAGGCAAGGTTTTTCATTAGCTTCTTTTTTATAAAACTAAAGAAAACAAAACAAAAAAAAAACATGACAAGCACTCAGTCCTCTGGATGTTTTGATAAGTGGTGTCTTATTTTTAGGCTAAACCTCCCTGAATGTTCAGGATATGCATTTAAAATAATGTATTTCATTAGCATATAGCGTTATGTTGTGGAATACACACAGTGGTAATAAATAGATCAAAACCATAACTATCTATAATTTTAAAAAATATTGCAGTGTGCATTATAAAGGTTAATTTTAACAAATAAATCAGGAATAATAATGCTGAAGAAACTTGTTATATCAAGGATGACAAAAATGAGAATCAGGCCTAACTGGTCTTTTGTTAACCTTCAGTCATTAACAGTACTAATTTTTCATGACATCTGGTTTTCAATTCTGAGGTTGTATTGATTTCATAACATAACACCATATTTAAAAAAAATGCAAAGAGGACAAACAATCCAATGACAAACATTATTTAAGTACCATGCAGCATGACGGATATATTTTCAAAGTCTGAGTTGATTGAACAGTTATTTTGAAAGCAGTTTGCGGGAGTGTAGTAATGATTCTAGTGTGCTAACTAGCTTGCTAAATCATCTGGACTCAAAAGAAGGGTTGCCAACAGTGATTCTGAGGCTGACATGTAATTATATTAGTGGTTATAAGTGTAGTAAAACCTTTTTTCAAAATATTTTGAAAGATATGTAGCAAGAAATACATGTATCTTATAAACTGATATTCTCATAATCATAAAAAACAGGTTATGCACATGCACTGAGCAACAAGATTGTGTTGTAAATTATAGTGGGTTATAGAGACTGGCAATTGGTCGTGTTTGCTTTCTATGTGATCATTCTTTGATGGTCCAGAAGACAAGTAACTAACAACGTGGCAGCCCGTTTTAATGCATTCCCTGGCCAAGTAAACATATTCAAATAGAGTGTACATACCTGTGTGTATGGTTCATCAGAGAACTTATGCACTTGGTAATTTTTTACAAGAATGATATTCCACTTTTCTATGTTAAATTTGAAAGCCAGGGAACTTACGATGCAAGTAAAGAATTCTAGACAGTCAGAAATTATACCTATGTTGTTAATTTCTACATAGTATATTTAATAATTTGATGATTACATTTCCCTAATGTAACTTTTCAGCAGTAACTGAATAAAACTTCATAATGACATTCATTAACTTCTAGACACATAAATAAATAAATAAATAAATATGCTTAATGTTATTTTAAATATATTTTTTGAATATTTCCTACAAAAGGTGACGATTCAGTCTATTTAAAAGGTGATTTCAATGTGCACCCCTAAGTATGTGTTTTTTTCCTTGTAGGGGAAACAAAGAAGATGGTCACACTGACCATTTTAGATGATACAGAGCCAGAAGATAATGAAAGTATCATAATCAGCCTGGTCTATACAGAAGGAGGGAGTCGGATTCTGCCCAGTTTTGACACTGTCACAGTGATTATTCTGGCAAGTGACCATGTGGCAGGAATTATTAGCTTCCAGACAGCCTCAAGATCTGTTATTGGTCGTGAAGGTGGGTGCTTTGTGTTGGCCACACTCAGTTTGTTTAACATTAGCTTCCATATCTGTGCTTTCTGTTGGTAACGACTCACAATGACTGACTGTATCACTCTTCAGAGAATGACAGCAAGCGGAGCATAACCACGTACTTGGCATGTATTTCTTTGAATTTTTAACTCTTGTAAGCGCAGCACTTGAATGGAATCTATGGAAGGGATGAATACACCATTTCCAAAAACATTTTATATATCATCATCTGTGCTTTCCTTTTTTTCTGACGATCATGCTTTGCTTCTATTGGTATTACATTTCAAAGCTCCTTTTAGCATTTGTTGTCTTATTCATTTATACCATATTCCAGAACTGTATGTAACTTCCATCATACACAGCTATAAGTAGTCATAAACAAATCTCATCTATCAGTGACTTACAGTTCACTTTGAAACATCTAGACAATATTCCCACAGAAAGATCAGGATGACATCTTCCCTCTTCCTGACTCAGTAACCTGCTATTTTAAAATTTTCTGTTAATGCTTTTTTATGGTAGCTAATTTGGAAATGTGAGAGTCTTGCTGTCATCACTCAGTCGTGACATGTGAGAAAAAACAATAATAATTTGATATGGACCAAAAGTTTCTACAAGTACTTTAAAAGAGCATGTTGCACATTTGATCTAAGGTTTGATGCAGTTTTGCGTAGGATAATAGTTGTGGTGATTGCTTTCAGCAGCCTTTGCTGGAATCTCAGTGTATTGCAGTATTGTGTTTCTCTGAAATGTAAACTGATGGGCAGGGAAAGTTAACAAAACAGAAATTTGCTGCCCAGGAACATGTGCATTGCATTTTCTGTTTGAAGAAAAACATCTTTCTCAACCAAACGTGTTCTGTTGTTTTTGTTGGGTTTTTTTGTTTGTTTTGTTTCTGGGGTTCTTTTTCTTTTTTTCTTTTTTTTTTTTTTTCCCTCAAGAAATAAAAGGACATTGCTACCTCTTGGTTTTTATCTAGATATGGTTTGTGTTAATTCTGTGCTAGTGTGTGCCCAGTTTTCGTCTTTTATTCCTCCATGTTACCGTTTCTGATCTGCCTGCTAAGGCAGGTGTGATCTGGCAGACTAAGAAGAGCTGTTAATGAGCACAAGATGTTAATACAAACTGTCTCATTCCCAGAGGTTATCATGACCCTAAATACTTCCCACTGGTTAAATACTGTTCATTGCATCTTAGCAAATACTGGCCATCTGGAGCTGAAATACTCTGCTATCATTTGGAAATTACTTGACTCCAGTTCTTCCAGTTTGTTAATAAATTGTGTTACAGCAAGAAAAAACAACCAACTAATTCCCTTTGATAAAAAAAAAAACAAACAAAAAACAGAGAATGAGCTAAGTCCTTTAGATTATTTAAATGTTTGTATTTCATTTTCAGTATCAAGGTTTTTTTTGTTCTGAAAACAGAATTTATCAGACATAAATGCAAATGTGATTATCATTTGTACTTATTGTATTATCGAACAATTTCTGTCAAGCAAATATGTGTTATTTTCAAGCTGTGCACATTGCTTATCACCTTACTGATGGCAACGTAGGATTTCAGTGCAGGCAGAGACATGACAGTTGTGTGGCTGTGACTGTGTTAGAGGAAAATGCACTGCAGTAGCTTGAAATAAGGAAGAAGAGGGGGGTGACTGACACCCCCTTCTTCTCCCTGATAAATGTAGAAGTGTAAAGGTATGGATCACATGGTTAAATATTATTCCTTTCTGGAGAGGGATACCAAAAATTTTGGTAAAGCTGACCAAGAAACATAAGTCAGAAATTAGCTACTTGGGGTCTGTAATGATGATGAATTGTGCTTCAGGTTTCTTCTTAGTGTTTAGATTACAGTGTAACAGGCTTCTACATCATAAAGCATTTTTTCACAGTCTTCAGTGAAAATGTATTGTGTTACATAAAGTTGTATTGAAATAAGCTTTGTTTAAATTGTGCATTCAGCAATGGTATTAAAGTAACTGTCTTTCTGTTAAATATTTATTTGTTTGCAATACAAATGCACAAAATTCTCAAACAGGATAGAGTGGATTTCAGTGCAGTGTTAAACAATATGATAAATTAGACTCAGGGGAACTTGTAAACTGGCAGTCTATCCTCATATTTCTGACTACAGAAGTAGAATCATTGTGATGTCAATAGATTTTGAATCCTTTCATTCTCTTAGAAGCGACATGGAACAATGTAAGACAAAGATATTAACATTGGCACATCTCCAGGGCTTAAGTGGAGTTTGAAGTGTTGAGGCTGAATAACACATACTAATTCTATTTGTTTGAAAATGGGCATACACAATTCTTGTATTCCTTCTTCACAATTTTGTATTTTAATTAATTGTATTAAGGTCTCATGAGCACATCTAGAAAATATTCCAATTGTTCCTGCAATTTTTAGCTATACTATACTGTCCTGCAATATACTATACTAGAAAAGCCAGATAGCATCCTACCTTGATGTTCTTTAAATTTCATAATCAGAGGGACTAGAAGGGCTGCTCAAATCTTTATGCCATGGAGTAAGAAGCCACATAACACCATATCTTCCCTTTCACTTTCATAGATGTATCTCAACGTCTCTCAATAGGGTTGCTTCTAAGCATGTACATAACACAGATCAGAAGATGGAATTATTCCCAGACTTTGCAACAGTGAAAAAAAATTGAGTCAGTTTATAGCAATACTAAGAAAGACTTTTTCAGTCAGTTGAGCATGGTACTAATTGTGTCAGCTTTCTGTTTCTGCATCAGGAAAATACATTTAGACAAATTTTTGTTAGTTTTCTTCTTTAGTGAGCAAAAGAAATCCCATGTATTATTGTTTCTGAGCTTTTCAGTATTATAGATTTCTGCATATTTCATGTCTTTGAAAACCAATGCAATACTGTACACACTGGCAGAGTTAAATTCTGTGCACTTGAAAAATGCTGTTGACATATGAATGCAGTACACCTACATATGGTAAATATCCATCTGTCCTTTAATGTGAATGTATTGCATAATATTACTGATTTTACCTGCTGACCTATTTCATGTTGATATAACGTGTTGATTTCACATGCCCATGTTTAAAATATTTATTGTCTGAATTATGTACATTTCTTAAATTTATATAAATATTTTTATTA